GCCAATAGAACAGAGCAGAGGACCCCGAAATGTAACTCAAATGTTAGATGATCTTTTAATAAAAAACCTGGGACCAGATACTGGGATGAAAGCTCAAAGATCAAAGAAACAGAGCAAGCCACAGCCACCACCTCTTATTCATGTTACACCGAAATAAACCTACACAGCTATGGCTACCTAATTTTTGAACTTAGTTATCAAAAACATACACTGGAAAAAGACAGCTTATTCAGTAACAGTATTGGCAGAACTGAGTATTTATTTGCAGAAGAATGAAATTAAATCCATATCTCTAACCTAATACAAAAACCAGTTCAAAGTAGATTAAAGACCTTACTGCAAAACCCACAACACTAGAACTGCTGGGGGCAGACACCCCAGATACAGGTGTAGGCGATAACTTTTTACTAGAGCGCCAACCACACAGGGGAAGCCCCAAGAATGGGCAAAGGAACCATCTACAGAGGGAACACAGCCTACAAAATAAGAGAAAACGCTTGCAAATTACTCTTCAGGCAGGGCTTAATGTCTAGAATAAAAAACTCCAAGAATTAAACACCAAAAGAATAAACAGTCAAATAATAAATGGGCCAATGAACTGAACAGACCATTCTCAAAACAAAGACAAGTAGTCAATAATATTACAAGAAATGTTCAGCACCCTTTTATCATCAAGGAAATGCAAATGAAATCTACTTTGTGACTTTTCACCATAGTCAGAATGACTGTTATCAAGAAAATAACTAATAACAAATGCTGGTGAGGATGTAGGGAAATCAGGGACCCTTAATTCACTGTTGGTGGGAGTGAAAAGGGCACACCACTATGGAAATCAGTGTGGAAGAGTCCAAGAAATAACTAATTAATTAAATAAGTAAAGGAAAGGAACTAGAACCACCACACCACCCTTCTGCACGACATCTGGGCATCACCACAGAGATACCTTCATCATATTTACTGCTGCTCTAGACCTAACAGCAAGGAAATGGGTTCAGCCAGCATGTCCACCAACAGATGAACAAACAATGAAAATGGGATACATATACACTGGAATTTTGTCAGACATAAGGAAAAATGAAATGTATAGGAAAATGGATCAAAGTAGAAAATAAACACATAATTTAAGGAAACTCAGATTCAGAAAGACAAATACCATATGTACTGTCCCACGTGGGGATCCTAGCTTCCAATTTTAATAATGTGTGTTTATGAGGAAGTTCGTGGAGGTCATGGAACTAGAAAAGGACCCATGAAAGGGCAGAAAGAGGCTTTAATAAAGGTATGGAGGACAGCAGGACATAAGTGACAAGGCAGGAAAGGAGGGGAGCTAGGGGTTAATTGTGTACGAAAATATGATAAGGAACTTTGTTATTCTGCATGCTAAGATTTAAATTAGTGACTAAAAATTTAAAAATAAACATCAAGGAGACTACATTCTCAAGCTTAGGCTTAAAACTCTCCCCAATGCCCATAAAACCAGTTCACACCAACAAAGCAAGAAGAATGGTCGGGTGGTGGTGGCGCACGCTTTTAATCCCAACACTCGGGAGGCAGAGGCAGGCGGATCTCTGTGAGTTCGAGGCCAGCCTGGTCTACAAAGTGAGTTCCAGGACAGGCACCAAAACTACACAGAGAAACCCTGTCTCGAAAAACCAAAACCCAAAAACCAAAAACCAAAAACAAACAAACAAAACAGAATGGCACTGAAGATTCTCACCTTCTTGTTTTGTAGACAAGCAGAATTACTCGGTATCACCAAAACACAAAATTCACAACGCACTCTGGCTCAAAGGTTTACCTCAATCTAGGGTCATTTCCTCAGCTTCACTTATAGAAATGTGGCCTTTCCTTTAAGACACAACTTTCCCACTTAGGTCATGAAAACAGCCCGCTAATACTTTAAAAAACAAAACAAAACCAGCACACACGTGAACCATTTAATCACCCAAACTTTTGGGCATAAAAACTACCACATAACATGTCTCCTGGTAAACACACAGCAGTAGACACATAGGGGCAACTCAGTCCAAGGTTCCTCCACCAACCGATACATACTTTAACCGGACATGCAGTTCAAACAGTAAAAAATATCACCTGGCTTAAGCTTACCGGGTGCCGCACCAAGTCCCCAAAAACGGATCAGGAATGAGCTCCTTAACATCGGAGCTTACCATTTTCACCTTTATCTCCATCTTAACTCACTTTTGTCTGTCTTTTTCCGTAGCCTAGCACCAGTCTATCCCTACGTCTCTCCTCACTGCCAAGATCTTGAACCCATCCTCTCTTGAAATTCGAGCTTTTCCTATTGCTTGTTCCTTCCTCTCATTCTTCAGTCTCCCTTAGACAATAAACAGGATGTTTATAACCACTTACTTCTAAACACTTAGGTGGGAGGAGGAGATTATTTATTATAGAGGGAAGTCATCTACATTTCTCAGAATGATCTTGAACTTCTGGGCTTCAAGTGATCCTCCTGACGAGAACATCTGAGTAGCTGGGATTATAGGTATGTCCCACTAAACCTAGTTATTCCCAAACACTGGACCTACTATGTGCCATATGTATATTCCAGGGTTATGTATATGGTCTCTGCCCTTATTAAACTTACATCATGGTAGCTAAGGCTGACAATGAGCAACAAATAACTACAACTATGGTTTTTGACAGATTAAACCCTGAAGAAAGTAAAACACGGTGATTCAGTTGAGACAAACTTAGCTGACCTGCTTACAGCTGTCCTTTTGAGCTCTTCATTGGTAAGGTAATGTAACACAAAAGTGACTCAGCTATGTGATGACCTGATGCAAAGTAATTTAAGAGTAAACAAAATTCACAATGCTCTGGCAAGGCAGCTTGGTGTTCAGAGATAAGGGTGACTGAAAAGATAGAGCAATGGCAAAAAAAATGAAGACTGAGCACAAAGCAGGGACCAGAGCTTAGAAAACTATGAGAAAGGAGTCTGGACTTTATTCTACTCCAGTAGTAAGCCATCTGAGGATCTTGAGAGAGTAACAGGATGTAGTCATTTGAAAACCTGTAATTCACAACAGTTCTGTTGCCAATACAGTGAGTGCTTCCTCCCACAGCTAGACAGTGCTGTCATTTAGCTGCTCTCTTTTCTTCTTGTTTGTTTTTTGTTTTGGTGAGACAGGGTCTCACTCTCACTATGTATCCTTGGCTGGTCTGGAACTTACTATACAGACCAGACTGGCCTTGAACTCCAAGATGGGCCTGCCTCTGCCTCTGGATTGCTGTGATTACAAGTGTGCACTTCCACACCTGGCTGTCATGCATTATCTAACCTGCTAAAGTTAGAAGAATTTAGGGGGGAAAGTGCCTTGCAGCTGGAAAGATGGCTCAGCAGTTAAAAGCATTTGGTGTACAATCATGAGGACCAGAGAGTCTGAATTCCAGCATTAAGCCAGGGTTCCAGAAAAGGCTTGTAACTACATCTCCAAGGGATCCAATACCTTATTCTGGCATCCATGTGCACATAGGTGTGTGCACCTTCACACATATGTACATACAAATACATAAATAAAAATCTTTTAAAAAATGCCTCAACATCTGTATTTAATGTTTTACCAAATATACACTGGTTTTAAACCAAACTTAAAATCAGAAAACAGAGTAAAGTGTGGTCTCCACTTATAATCTCAGCACTCAGGAGGAGCTGGAATTCAAGGTCATCCTCCACAGCAGAGACTTTGTCAGCCTGGGCTACAGGAGACTTTCTCCAAAACAAACAAAATGACCACAAATTTGATAAAATCGCAAGGCTGTTTTTTTTTTTTTTAATCAAGGTAAGTTGAGAAAAGAAATATGATTTTACTTTATCCTGCCCCAGATTTTGAACCAATATTCCAAAAATTCAAACTTACCTCGACAAGCATCTTCAAAATCCTGGGTTATGTCCACCCAACTTGTGTTACTTTTTTCCATTTTCTCAGGAACACTAAGCTCCCATCCTGAATCATCATCATCTACAGCAGCTTTCATAACCATTATGCCTGTAACGTGAAGACTGGTGTGAGACAGAGGGGAGTGTTTTGGCAGGTACAGTATCTTCAGGACTACCTACGTACTGGGTGAAAGACTTCCTAAACTCTGTAGACCGAACTCCTTTGAGTCCATTGGATGGAATTGCAAAAAACTAGCTTTGTGCAATCAGACCTCGCTGCTGCTGATCACATACTGAGATTCGCACCTGCCAGAACTCTCAGTTTCTAACTAGTTCAGAGATCTTCAGCCATCCCACCGCAAGAAACAACTCCAGAGGTGCCGGCTTTCAACACTGGCCTCCTCCGGGAACTAGAGCTTCCCTCTCCGCTCAACAGCAGCCGAGCATCCTCACCTGGCGGGCTTCGCAAGCCCCAGGCCCGGCCTCGCCCTGCAGGCGCGTCCCCTCAAACCCCGGCCCGTGGAGGAACGCGGCCGAGGCGAGGACGCGTCTACGCGGCGCCTCGCGGGGAACGGGCACCAGGCGACCCTTGTCGCCCGGGCGACCCGGGCACAGCCCGGCCTCCCGGCGCGCGCCTCCGGCTCCGATCGGAGGTACGGCGAGGAACCGGCCAGTGCCGGCTCCCCGAGGTCCGCCACACGCGAGGTGCGGGGTCGTGCCGGCCCCACACAGGCCACCCGTGTACTTTTCCCACGACCACACACGCCACCACGCACCGTCCGCGCCACGAAAATAACGACACAGCCGCCACAGCCGCCGCCGCCACCTCCCCTCTCGGCCCCGCCCCCGCCCAGCCGGCCGCGTGCGCGCATGCGTACGCTCGGGGCGCGCCCCCCGCCCTCCTCCTCTCGGGACTCCGCGCTGCGGCCACGCCCCCTCCTTCACCTAGGCCGCCATACCCGGATGGACTGTCGTCCTCTCTTCTCGCGGCATTATAGCCCGTCGCGAGACCGGAAGCCTCTTTCCATTTCCCTCCCCTCCGGTAGGACCCGGAGAGGGGCGGAGCCTGAGGGCTGGGCACCAGCCTCATCCAGGGCAGCTTCCTGGAAGACTCTGAAAGGTGACTCTACGGTGAAGGGCAGGGGTGGAGCTTCCGGTGGGACGAGACCAACTGCTCTTTGGTGGCAGTGCACACTGACTGGATGTACGTCTTCTAGTAGTGCGGAAGGACTTCATAAAGAAAAACAAAGCATCTGCATCAGGCTAGCAATTTTCTTCCAAACTCAGATGTCTTAAGTTTTTCCTATTCAGTCAGACCTTCATCAAGTAGATTTGGTGTGGGTGTGGGTGGAGCTGGGGAAAGAACCCAGGTCCAGAAGTAATCTTAAAAAAGAAATAAAAAAGGAAGGACATGATTGCTCCTAGGTATGATGGAGGAGAAGATTGATTGTAGATATGAGGGAGAGCATAGCCACAGAAGTCCAGAGTGGACATGACCCTGAGCTGGGCCCATGTGAGGAGAGGGGGAGGCGAGAGAGGAGGCCAGAAGGATAAAGGGTTAGAAAAAAGGACCTGATAACCAAAATGGCTGGATTATATATGGAAGAACAGCTGGGGCAGCCCAGCCCCTGGGCTAGAGAAAATTAGGGTAAGGGGCAGGGTATGCCAGCCGTATCTTGTGACAGGTAGGGACAGGGATGCTGAGAGAACCGGGCAGCCAGGTCTGCTTAAATAGGCACCTCAGCCATCTGTCCTGGGCTTGAGACCTGACACTGAATAAGAGAATACTCAGTCTGTCTTTGAGCTACATCTTCAGGCTTCATGTTGATTATTTAAATTTTTGTTTTTCGAGACTTTTTTGTGTGTGTAGCTTTGGCTGTTCTGGAACCTAGCCCTGTAGACCAGGACGGCCTCGAACTCACAGAGATCTGCCTCCTGAATTCTGGGATTAAAGTTATGTGCCTCACACCTGGCAGATTATTTAAATTAAAAACAATTATTTCTCACATAGAATGTGTTTCCTGAGGACAGAAACTGTGTTTTTATTAAAACTGTCCTAGCACCTAAGGCATGTAGTTAGTTCACAAAGTACGTGGAAGATGAGAATGTAGAAAAGAAGTTACAGAAACTGATTAAAGATCTTTTGAGATGCCAAAAAAAAATCTAGAAAAATGTGAATAGGGTGCATCTTAATTGTTCAATATTGTATGTAAAAGTGTGACCAGAACTAATTTTATAAAGATTCACTGGGGGGGCTGGAGAGACAGATCATCAGTTAAGAGTGCTTCTTATTCTTCCAGGGAACTTGAGTTCAGTTCCTAGCACCTGTGTCAGGCCACACAACCACCTGTAAATCCAGCTCCAGGAGGGTGCCAGGTCTGTAGGTGTGTTCTTTCACTGGTGATTTAACCAAAGACCAAGTATTCTACACTGAGCTAAATTCCTAGCTCCCTCCTATATACGTTGTCATATCTAGAGCACTCATTAACTAATACAATGCAAATGCTTTGTGAATGTTCGTTGTGTTGTTTAGGAATAATCACCCCGATATTCTGTGCATAATAAAAATATTTCTTCTGGCTGGGTAGTAGTGGTGCAAGCCTTTAATCCCAGCATTTGGGAGACAGAGACAGTGGATCTCTGTGAGTTTGAGGCCATCTTGGTCTACAGAGTGAGATCCAGGACAGCCAGAGCTACACAGAGAAATCTTATCTTGGGGTAGAGGGGGGAGGAAGAAAAAAGAAAAAACCCAAAAAATCCTTAGCTGGATCCATGGCTGTGGAACCCCTGTATATGCTGTGCTGACTGTATATTTGTCTCTTTCATAGTAAAGATTTCTTTAGTCCTCACCATTGGCTTCCAACTGGTAGACCAAGGTGCTTTGTTTCTAGCAGGGACTTGTCAAGTGCTGACCTCCCTGGGTCTGTCTGGGCCATTGGTCACGAGGTAGTTCAATTTCAGAGAGGAAGGACTTATAATCCAGGGCTTTCATGTATAGCTGTACAAACTGGATACTGTACAGCTATAATGTATGCATTAAAAGCTCCCCAGAGCTTCACACCCTAGCTCTACTCCCAAAATCTGCCAGCTGCCAGCCATTGGGAGTGGAGGAAGAAAGCTGAGACATGAGGGAGGGCACATTTCAACACCCATGTGACAGGTTGCTGGATAAGGTCCTCTGTGTCTGCTGCATTTTCCTTCTGTCATCTCATGCCAGCCCCTTCTTGCTAACAGCTCTCCCTGCTTGTTTTGCAATTCCAAAGTCTTCTAAGTGAATCCACTTAAAACGGGATGCAACCAGGAAGGAGATGTCAGATCTTATGCTTCGTACGAATGCATCCCTGTTTTAGCCTCAGCCTGACCTTCATCTCGAGAGAGATTCTTCTCTGAGTTCCAGAATGTGCTATGATGCAGATGTGCCTGTAAATAACCTTTTGAATTCATTTGTGCCTTCTTCCATCTGCCTGTCTCTCCGACTTTAATAGGTTTTCTGTCCCCCAATAATAAGTTTCTCCATCGGTGCAGTAAGCCAGATCAAGCCAAGATGAAAAAAATATAACAACAGGTATTAGGAAGCAAAGCAACTCCCAGGTGGGTTCTTGGATCCCAGAGATCAAGGCCAGAGAAGTCTCACCCAAACTAAAACAGGGAGATTTTATAGGTTGTAGGCAAGGGGTGATGATGTGTCCACTAACAAGCTGGGTTTGTGCTCAAGTATGGTCAAAAACTGAGCGCTTAGGTGGGGACTTGGACTGCTGGCAACTTCAAGCAGGGGAGGGGGGGAAATATGCAATAGCTGCCTAAACCCAGCACTTGGGAGGCAGAGGCAGGCAAATCTCTGAGTTCAAGGCCAGCCCAGTTTACTGAGTGAGTTCCAGGACAACCAGGGATACACAGAGAAACCCTGTCTTGGAAAAAAAAAATGCATATTGCTAATTTTTTTTATCTTTTAACAATTAAGAATGGTAGTGGTGTATGTTTTTATTATAGTAACAGTCCATTTCTTGTATGTTACCCTGAAGTCTTTGTTCCCATTGGAAATCAAGAGAACAGAACTTCCAAGAAACCACACAAGGAAACAGAAGCAAGGACTAGAGGCATTACCATGCCCAGGGCATATCTCACAGGGACCTGAACTGCCAGTTGAGCCCTAGGGCTCAGCTTAGCTTTAGTGCCTTGATGTAAAGCCAAAGAGCATGTGCTACCCCAACCACCAAAGCAAGAACAAAGCAGCAGCAAGAGCTATTTAAAATCCTCTTTCTTCCCATTAAGTCTGAGCCATGACTGTTTTGAACTTTTCTGCAGAACATGCAAAGTATCTCCTTAAAGCCATATGGATATTGGGATTGTGCATGCTGCCAGCCCAGAATTCATTTCTAAAGTGATTTTATATTGTTGCAGGGTGCCAGCCAGCATAAATATATATACATGCACACATATAAAACATTTTCCTATTTTTGCTTTTTATGTTAATTTGCAGAGATTTTCTGCCTGGAATCAATCTCAAGAGTTCTGATTTAGCTTGGCGGTGGAGTGGATTACACGTTTTTCAGCACAGGAGATGAGGGAATAAGAGAAGATATTTTTGAAGAAGAATTTTACCAGAGAGATGGCTCAGAGGTTAAAAGCATACTGCTCTTGCAGAGGACTGAGTTTGGTTCCCAAGTTGAGTAGTTCACAACTGCTTATAACTCCAACTCCAGGGGATCTGATGCCCTCTTGCATCCTTTGTGATGTCTGAGAGCACCTGCACACACATGCACATATCTACACACACATAATTAAAAATAATAAAATCTTCTAAAAATAGAAATTACTTATCCAAATTGTATTAGTAAAGTTTCTCCAGAGGAAGAGAACTAATAGAGTGAACCTATCTGTCTGTCTGTCTATCTCTCTATCCATTTATCCATCTATCGATCTATCTATAGAAAGGGGATTTATTAGAGTAGCTTACAGGCAGTGCCCAGCTAGTCCAACAATGGCTGTCTTGCAATGGAAGGTCCAAAAATGCAGTAGTTATTCAGTCCATGAGGCTGGATGTTCCATCTGGTCTTCAGTATACACTGGAATCCTGAAGAAGTAGGCTCTAATGCCAGTGAAGAAATGGACTTGCTAGTGAGAACAAGAGCCCAGAGAGCAAAACCTTCCTTTGTCCATGTCCTTTATATAGGCTGCCAGCAGAAGGTGTGTCCCAGATTAAAGGTGGATCTTCCTACTTCAAAAGATCTATATTAAAGGTTTACCTTTCCACCTGAAAGATCCAGATTAGAAGTGGGTCCTCCCACTTCAAATGATTTAATTAAGAAAAAATCCCACACAGGTGTGTCTAGCCACTTGCGCTTTAGTTAACTGTAGATGTAGTGGACAACTAAGAATAGCCATTATAAAAATCTATTTAAAGTTTAGTGTTGAGGATGATGTCTCTGACTACATAGCCATATATTGCACAGGTGAGTGGACAGGGTGTCTGTTGTAGTGTTGTGACAATGATTTAAGTCAAATCTGAGGTCATGCTCATCAGTGATTTGAAAATTAAATGTACTATAGTTGATTTTTTTTCTAGTTTGAAATTTGTAGTGTGTGTGTGTGTGTGTGTGTGTGTGTGTGTGTGTGTGTGTGTGTTCAAGTGTGTGGTGGTCAGAGATCAACCTTGTATAGATCAACCTCTAGAGCAGTGGTTCTCAAACTTCTTAACATTTTGACCCTTTAATACAGTTCTCCGTTTTGTAGTGACCCCTGTCTTAGTTTGGGTTTCTATTGCTGTGAAAGAAAAAACACCATGACCATGTCAACTCTGTTGCTCGAATTCTAAATTGGTCTCACCAACTCCTCAGCCTGAAAGAGCCTTTAGCTGAAAGGGATGCTTCTGCCTAAAAGCCTCAGCCAATAGGCCTCTAGTTGAATGAACTTCCTCAGCTGAAAAGACTTTAGTTCCTGTCTCCTCTCCACATTACTTCCTGGGATTAAAGGCATGTGTGCTTCCCAAGCAAAGACATGAGATCTCAAGTGCTGGGATTAAAGGTGTGTGCCACCACTGTCTGGCTCTGTTACTCTCCTAGACTGAGTCAATCTCAAGTAGTTCAGGGTGACTTTGAACTCACAAAGATCCAGATGGATCTCTGCATCAGGAGTGCTAGGATAAAAGGTGTGTGCCACCACTGCCTGGCCTCTATGTTTAATCTAGGGCTTGTTCTGTCTTCTGATCTTCAGGCAAAATTTATTAGGGTACACAATATATCACCACACAACTCTTATAAAGGAAAACATTTAATTGGGGCCTACTTATAGTTTCAGAGGTCCTTTATCATTATGATGGGACATGGTTTTGTGCAGGCAGACATAGTGCTGGAGGAGAGTGCTACATCTTGATCTGCAGGCAGCAGAAAGAGAGAATATGTAACATAATGGGCATAACTTGAGCATATGAGACCTCAAAGCCCCTCCCCACAGTGACACACTGCCTCCAACTAGGCCACACCTACTCCAGCAAGGCCAAACCTCCTAATAGTGCTACTCCCTATATGCCAAGCATTCAAACATATGAGTCTATGGGGGCCATTCCTATTCAAACTATCACAACCCCAACCATAAAATTATTTTGTTGCTACTCCATAACTATAATTTTGCTGTTATGAATCATAATCTTATGAATCTGATATGCAGGATATGTGATATGGGACCCCAAAAGGGCCACAACCCACAGGTTGAAAACGACTGGTCCAGAACAATCCATCTTGTTTTTGAGGCAGTTTTTCACTTGGCCTGGAACCTACCTGACTAGGCTCAACTGTCTAGGCAGTGGGCTCTTGGGGTTTGTCTGTCTCTGCCTCTCCAGTACTGGGATCACAAGCATATGCCACCATGCTCCACTTACACAGGTTCTGAGTACCAAATGCAAGTCTTTGTGCGCAAGCACTTTACTAACTGAGCTAGTATCCCAGTCTGTCTTTTTTAATCTTACTGATATTGTAACCATCAAGCTGTTAAACTTTGATTGTACTCAGATATGTGACTACAAATCAGTTTGATATTCATGGAAGAAATGGGTGTGTGGCGGTTTGAATGAGAAGTGCTCCCCATTGGTCACATGTTAGAACACTGGGACCTTGGTTGGTGGAGCTGTTTGGGGCAGTCATGGAAGCTTCAGGGGGTAGAGCCTTGATGGAGTAATTACGTCACTGGGGGTGGACTTTGAGGATTGATAGCCTGGCCCCACTTCCGGTTTGAACTCTCTGTTTCCTGTTTGCAGTTGAAAATGTGGTTCCTTGGACTCCTGCTTTGACTGCCATGCCTGCTGCCTGTCGCTATGTCTTCCTATGTGGGCTCTATTTCTCTCTGGAACCGTAAACCAAACTAAAGTTTTCCTTCTGTAAATTGCTATTGGTATTTTACCACAGCAATAAAAAGTAACTAGTAAAGGTTACTTTAAAAATTGAAATTTTTATCTTGGACCTGAGTGATGGGTAGGTCAAATAGAGGTTTAAGCTGCCCTGTGAATTCTTTTTCCTTAGATGAGAAACACATATATTTTTTACTTCATTTTTTATTATCTGTTACACCACCTATTTGTTGGGGAATATTTCTTTACACTGTGTGAAGATGTTGTGTGGTTACTAGTGTTCATGCTTTTAAAGATTTATAATGAAAAAGAGCAAGCTGGAAAAGGAAAAATACAAAATGTGTAATTGGGTCCCTGTTTTAAGTGCGGGGAGGGGGGGGGGGGGCAGGGGCAATGTGGGTTAAGGCGTGCCCTACCAGGCTATCAATTGAGCCTTGTTCAAAGTGCCACCCAGAGAGACAACTGGTCAGCTGACTGCACCCAGGCACTGAGTGGCATGGGAATAAACATAGACCTCCAGCAGACCTCTAGGCTTGGCCACAGGCTCACTTACAGGGAACCCAGAATACAGCATGGAAGCGATCTGTTTCTTTCCTTCTGGATACCAAAGCCACTTACTCAGTCCTGGGGTGCCACCTCTCCTCATTTCCCTGTTGTTGGGGTAGGGAGGACAGCCTTACCCACCTCACCAGACTTAATTGTACTTTCAGGACTACTTGATGGGAAAAGATTTTTCAGCTAAGGTAGGAGCTTTCATTTCATTGCTCCCTCCATGTGCCTCACTCCAGACCTGTCAGAAGTGCTTCTCCTCCTCATGCACACAGACAGGGCCCTGCTCTCTGCCTTGTCCCTAATTCCAAAAGAATGAGTTCTCACCCCACAAGCTTTTCTCTTACTGGTTCCCTCTACTAATTAACTACTCAGCTGATTGTTACAGGATTACCATAGAGCTGGAATCCAAGGACCATCAGATATACCCAGGTGGTAAGAAACTGTAACAGTTAAAAGCTCCAGAAACAAGCTTAAATCCATCTGGACAGGTCGGATCTACCTCGATATAAGTCCCAAACCCAAACCTTCCTGGTCTTGGGACCCTTCTCTATCACCCTGGAAACCCCTCCATAATAATAATAATTCTTTCTTCTAAGCTTTTCTCTCTCTCACAGCATCCTGTCAGACACAAAAGCAGCCAAAGTGCCAGGCCAAGAAAGATGAACAGCTCTGAGGCAGCAGATGACAGCTCACCATCCCAGGACAGCCCACCATCCCAGGACACCTGTCTACCTTGAAAGCCCCCTTCCCTACCCCACAAGAGTCAACCAATGCCCACCAAGTCAGCTGGAAGCAGTTTTTCTAGGAGAAATGATGCCCCTATTCCTGTTCACTCACTTTTTTTATAGTAAGCAAAAAGTCTGGAATGTTAGAATTCTGTCCTCACTCTAGCTGCATGATCGCACATGCACAGTTCAGGAGTTAAGCAAAGAGTCTTGTGTCTTACATCATCAGTGTGTGCTGGCAACTACATGAGCATGGCGTGGTCATGCAATCAGCACATGTGTGGTGTAGCTCCGTAAGCCTGCCTGTGCATGCTCACCAGGAACCCTTAAAAAGCCAGACACAGACGCCACCCTCTCTCTCTGTTCTGCTCCCTCTCGCCCAACCCCACCATCTTTCTCTCTGTTCTGTTATGTCTCCCCAGGCCTGGTTCTTTTCCCCTTCTCTCCTCCTAATAAAGCTCTCAGCTACCAGGTAGTGTGGCCTTGGCTCATGACCCTTTTGCTCAGTAACCAGTGCCATAACCAGTGCTGCTTATCATTCATTTCACCAGGGACTGGGGTATTGCTGTGATAGGCCTGACCATGCTTTTGTTTGAAGGAATAGGGACCTTGGAACTGTGGATTAGTAAAGCAGTTCAACACTTTTGCTGCTTCTTGGGCCATACCAGTAGGAGCATGGAAAACAGTGGTGCTAAGTATGATTTGATGAACTGGGGGTAGGGGGCCTGGCTCAAGAGGTTTCAGAGGAGAAGAATTTTAATATATTGCCTAGAGATCATTCTTGTGGTATTTTGATGAAGAATGTGGCTGTTTTTTGCCCTTGTACAAAGAGTCTGCCTGAGGCTAAAGTGAAAGTTTTGGATTAATTCCATTGGCAGAGGAAATCTCAAAACATCCCAGTATAGACTCTATTGTGTGGTTACTAGTGTTCATGCTTTTAAAGATTTATAATGAAAAGGAGCAAGCTGAAAAGGAAAAATACAAAATGTACAATTTGAGGAGAAAAGAAGCATCAGGAAGTAGAATGCAGCTAAGTATTTAAGAAGAAAGATTAAGAAATGGAATCAAGAGAGTGGTGACCTCAGGGCAAGATTCCCCCCAGCTAGGTTCCCAACTTGTAAAAAGAAATTAAAGAAAAGCTTAGAACCAGGTGTGATGGTGCACACCTTTAATCCCAGCACTGGGAAGGCAGAGGCTGGTAGATCTTTTAGTTTGAGGTCAGACTGGTCTACAGAGCAAGTTCCAGAACAGCCAAGCTTAGGCAGTGAAGAAAACTATGGAAAACAGAAAGCTGGTCAAGATGTAATTGAACAAGAGGGCCATGTTGCAGCCCTAGCAACCAGCAGAGTTTAGCAGCTTCAGCCATGTGGTTCTGGCTTTAGAGTCAAGGAGCAACTAAGGAAAGCTTCTCACGCCAGGCATGTGTCAGGAGTGTCCCTGAATGGAAGCCTAGTGAGGCCATTACACGAAGTTGTGAAGGGAAAGCTTGGATTATCTTGGAGACCTCAAGATGTTAGAGATGCCAGAGCTGTAGGATATCTGTCAAGGAAAGCTGCTAATGGGCAGTGGAACCAGCCCAAGAGAAAGAAGTGTGATGCAGTCAACAAAGCTGAGAGGAGTTGGAGATCTGAAGAACACTTTGACATCAGACATGGAGATGCAGAGTTTGGAGTTTGCCCAGCTGGTTTTTGGTCTTGCTTTGGTCCAATAGTTCCTTACTATGCTCCCTTCCCTACATTTTGGAATGATAATGTATATCCTGTGCCATTATATGTTGGAAGTATGTGATCTGCTTTTGGATTTTGATTTTACAGGTGATTACAGTTAAAAAACTGAATGAATCTCAGAAGACTTTGAACTTTGAACTTTAAAACATTGTTGAGACTGTGATAGACTATGGGGACTTTTGATGTTGGACTAAATGCATTTTGCATTATGGTATTGTTACAAGCTTATGGGGGACAGGGAGTGGAATGTGGTAGTTTGAATGTAATTGGCCCCCATAAGCTCATAGGGAGTGGCACTATTAGGAGGTGTAGCTTTATTGGTGTAAGCATGGCCTTGTTGGAGGAAGTTTGTCTCTGTGGAGACAGGCTTTGAGATCTCATATATGCTCCAGCCATGCCCAGCATCTCAGTTCACTTCTTCTTGCCTTTGGATCAAGATGTAAGAACTCTCAGCTCTTTCTCCAGTAACATGTCTGCCTGCATGCTGCCTTGCTTTCCACCATGATGACAATGGACTAAACCTCTGAACTATAAGTGAGCTACCCCAATTAAATGTTTTCCTTATAAGAATTGCAGTGGTCATGATGTTTCTTCACAGCAATACAAACCCTAAGACAGCAATATTAAAAATGAATGTCAATAGAGGTCAAAACTCCATTATTATAACATGTCTCTTTCAACTCCAAGTTTTCTCTGGATGTATGCACTAGTAGAGAACTGTTAAGAAGCCTAGTGTGGTGGCACATATGTAATTGCAGGGCTTGGCAGGTGAAAGCAGGAGTGCAGTGTGGTGATATTTTATTTGTACTGAAATGTGACTTTATTTGTATGTTAATAAATAAAGTTTGCCTGTAGAGCAGAGGTTAGCAAGCCAGGAACAGAAGTCAGGTGGTGGTAGCACATGCCCTTAATCAGATCACATGGCAGGCAGAGTCTCTGTGTGGTCAAGGACACAGCCAAGTGTGGTGACATGAGCCTTTAACCCCAGTACCAACCATAGAGACCTGGAGGTCTATATAGACAGGCAATGACGAAGTGATATGGCTGGGTTTAGAGCCAATGAGAAGGCAGAACAGGAAGGCAATAAAAACAGGTTAGACGGGAAGAAGCTCTCTGTGGAAGCTACTGCTGGTGGTAAGCTAAGACTAGTTGTGGCTATTGCTCTGATCTCTTCAGCTATTACCTCTGTATTTGGCTCCATATTTCTTATTTAATAAGACTTTAGAAATTCGTCTACAGTGCAGGGTTATCCTGGCTACCTAGTGAGTTCAAGGCCATCCTGGGCTACATGAGACTCTGTCTCAAAAAGAGAAATAAATGAAACTATTAATAGAATAAACATTCTGTAAAAGTAAAAATTCTACAAAAGCCATTTTTTATAACAATAGTAGTTTTAAGTGAATCAGCATCTGTTTGTAAAATTTTAAATAAGGGTGTAAGGTGTATTTAGGAAACTATAGTTATTGGCCTTTTTCCAAAAACTAATTTGGATTTTCTTTGAACTACAATATCAAATTTTTTTTTTTTTTTTTTTTTTTTTTTTTGGTTTTTCGAGACAGGGTTTCTCTGTGTAGCTTTGCGCCTTTCCTGGAACTCACTTGGTAATCCAGGCTGGCCTCGAACTCACAGAGATCCGCCTGGCTCTGCCTCCCGAGTGCTGGGATTAAAGGCGTGCGCCACCACCGCCCGGCATACAATATCAAATTTATACTTAACTTTACTATTACAGTGAAAATCATTTAGCCATCTTTAAATCCCAATTCATAAGCTTAATTTTTTCAAAGTTTTGTTGGTATTAGAAGGAGTAAGTAAATCTTGTTCTTAGCATAAAATTCTTCAAAGTTATTTTATGCTCTAAATCTTAGTAAATGGTCAGAGTACAAAAACATCCATAACCCTTTTAACAGTTACCTACTGTTGGCTCCTCAGCACGTATGCTCATTTGCATTTCTTCGAGGACCAAGGAATAATTTTGTAGGGAGACTACCAAATACTCTGATAAGCCACAGTAACAGTTTTATTTGGGAAAAATCATCTTTGCCTTTAAGCAAAGGTCTCATAACATAAGTGGGTAAATTGATTCTTACTTGTAATACAAAATGATCTTTTCTAAGTAGGAAATCACTCTAAACTTGAGTTCTCCAGAGTCTCCTTAATGTGTTTGAAAGTATCCATATAAGTTAACACTTCCACGGAACACACTGTTTGACTTTTATCATGTTGAAGAGCTTTTCTTCAACAGCGTTGCTGATATAAAGAATGAGAAGTGATAGCTCCATTTCTTTTTTTTCTGAAAACTTTTTAGACTTCTTATTTTAGACTCAATAATCCTTGTTAGTATCTAGATGCCAAAATAAAAGAGCCATTAAATTTGAGACTGCAGCTTCATTCACTAACTTACCAGGGATATGGACCATCCTGCCTTGCTCATATTCCTATACCATGGTGGCAATCCTGGAGGAAGAGACCCCACTCAAGGAGGGAAATTCATTTATTCACAGAACAGAAGTAGCCCATCAGAATCTGCCTTCAAAGAGACTATCCCTGTGGTCAGGGATTCATAAGTCTAAATATACTTAGTCATTATCTCCCAGGGGTGATGTCTTAGGCTTTCTACTCCTGTGATGAAGCACCATGACTAGAAGCAACTTGGGGAGGAACAGGTTTGTTTGGCTTATTCTTTCATAGCACAATTTATCATGGAAGGAAGTCAGAATAGAACAAGCAGGGCAGGAGCCTGGAGGCAGGGGTTGATGCAGAGACTGTGGAGCAGTGCTGCTTACTGCCTTGCTCAGCCTGCTCCCTTATTGCACCCAGGATCACCAGCCCAGGGATGGCCCCACCCACAGTGGGCTGGGCTTTCCCACATCAATCACTAATTAAGAAAATGCCCTACAGCCTTACCACAGTCTGATCTTATGGAGGCATTTTCTCAGTTGAGGCTCCTTCCACTCAGATGACTCTAGCTTGTGTCAAGTTGACATAAACTAGCCAGCACAAGTGACCTCATGGACGTTTCACTGTGGCTAGAGCAAAAGCCAGCACAAGTAACCTTACAGATGTTTAACTGGCTGGAGCAGAAGCCAGCCAGGTGACCTCAGAGACAGTTCACTGTGGCTAGAGCAGAGTGTTGAATGACCAGAGAGAAGTTAAACCAGCTCATGCCAGTTGCATCAGACTGGAACCTGACTTGTTTTAGACTTTGAACGTCAATAATAAGCAGTTTTAATACTAGAAGTCATTTCTCTCTATTTTACTAATCACTTAAAATATGATGAATTTAATCCTTTGGGTTCTGGGACTGAAGCTCTCCAGTCTAAGATATGGCTTTCCCTACCAGTGCTGCCTCAGCTTGACTCGGATCACGCGTATGTGTTCTGAGGGAAGAACACATGAATTATGAACAAGCTTTAGGTTGCTTGGTCACATTTTGGGACAGAAAAGGCCTTCTGTCTATGTGTCACCTTACCTGTGCCACAGACTTGAAGACAAAGGTGCAGTCACACAAAAGCTCTGAGCCTGTGAACAGACCTTTCAGTGTGGCACTTGCCCTCCAGGTGGCAGCATTCCCTGTTACTGGAAAAAGGCAAGCTTGGTCAGTTGTCCGGATGTCTCATAAAAACAATTCTCATTTTGTCCACAGTGCAAGCATGCTCATTCTTCCAGACTGAGACCTTATAAAGAAAAAGTCTCACCTAAATTCCACAGAACAATTCTCAAACCTAGAAAATGGTCTCCTAAATAACTG